CGACGCGGTGCTGGCTGACTTCGCGTCGCCCTTCCACGAGCGCCACTTCCACTACGAGGAGCACCTGGAGCGCATGAAGCGGCGGAGCAGCGCCAGCGTCAGCGACAGCAGCGGCTTCAGCGACTCCGAGAGTAAGTGCGCCCCACAAGAACGGTGCCCCGCGCCCCGAGGCTCTCGCCCGGTCCGTGCAGGAGCGCTGGGCGCGGCCTCAGTTTGCCTATCTGTAGTCGGAGGGGTGGAGCCCAGCGAGGTGACCCTACCGCTCAGGGCAGTCCCCAGGGCACCGGGAGAGCGGAGTCGCGGGGCGGTCGCCCAGCGGGGGCAAGAACCCGGGGGAGGCTCTGGAGGGCCAGTGGGTCTCCCTGCGGCCGGCAGGTGTCACGGGCTGGAGGGTTTCCTGAAGCAGCTGGTCCGGCCTCAGCCAGACGGGACTCCTGGGACCCGAGTCTTTCCACAGTTCCCTCGCCTCCTCTCCTTCCCCCTCCTCCCCTCTCAGCAATAACTTTTCAGAGGACGTGGAGCAAGTGGCACAGGAATGGGGGTGGGAGGGGACGTGGGAGGGCACAATGCTGAAACATTTGTGAAACCAGAAAAGTTTCATAAACGGCTGCTCTTGGGAATTTTTGAAATAACTTCTTGCACTTTCTTTTGGCCCCGCGCTCCCCGACTGGCTGCTCCATTACAGACAGTTTTGAAAGAATCCCTGGCACTGCTGGGTTCAAGTGTTTTAGGAAGTGACCCCTCCTTCAGGCAGGCCCCTGGGGGAGTGCTGGCTTTGACTCCCCGCTCAGACTGGACAGGGAGATGCTCCCTGGGGACTCCCAGGGTCTCTCTCTGTCCTAAACAGCCTCAAGAGACACAGCTTTCTTCAGGAACCCAGATGTCCTGTAAGGATTATGGATGTCTGCTTAGGTGTCAAGCAGCACATTGGGTGACTTTTCAGTATTACATGCTTGCCGGTTTCAAATTACTTATTTTTCAAAGTGAATTTGAAGCAATTCTGGGTTATTCTCGAGACTACAGCACATTGGGTGACTTTTCAGTATAACATGCTTGCCGGTTTCAAATTACTTAAGAAATTTGAAGTGAATTTGAAGCAATTCTGGGTTATTCTCGAGACTTCACTCCCTAGATGGCTACAGGCATGAATGGCACTCTCTTTGCTGCCCTGGACTCTGGAAGTGCAAGCAATGACCTTTCCTTGTAATTCTCTTCTTTTGAAATCCAAAGTTCTTCCTTGTCAGAGGGCAAAGGTTCAGTCCTAGACTTAAACATGAGCTGCCTCCTGAGAAGGGATAAAGGGCACGCACCACCCTTCAGAGTTTGAGTCAGAAACCCGAGTTCCAGCTGACTTTCTTTTGGCTGCCTTGCCCAAGGGTTAGATCTAATTGCAGCTTTGAGGTGAAAGGGAATGGAATAGTGTGCTGTTAATTTTCCATTTTGTATTTTTGGACTTTGTGGCTAATGACCAGACCGCTTATATTTAATTTCAAAGGGAAGTCTAAAAACTTTTGAAATGTGTCTCACTATCTGTGGCCAAACTGAAATACATCTCCTTCTACTGGGGCATGGAGCAAGTTATTCATTGAGAACAAATTCTCTCCCCCACAGGAAAGAAAGCTGGGGCAGCCTGTCCAGTGCTGGTCTATTGCAAAGAACAGCTCCTTTCTAAACCACAGCCACACTTGGCTGGAGTATGGTCTGAGCGCGCCCATTCATGGGTGATTGCAGCTCCCTCTGGGTAGGGTTTCAGAGCTGGGATCTGCTTTCAGGGGCCTCAAAGAGAAGGTACTTGAAACACATTCCGAACGGTTTTCGGGGGATGTGTGAAATAATCTGTATTGTTCTTAGGGTATGTGTGTCTATTTCGTTTTCTGCTTTTGTTGTTAACTGTTGAACTAAACTGTAGTTTGGTGTTTAGAGAAGTAACGGGGAGGGTATAAAGAAGGCTCCAGTGACATCAGTCTTTTCAACTAATGTGTAGTTTGTCCCCCATATGACTGCTTAGAACTAGTCTTGACAGAAGCGGTGTGTATCTAAATAGTAATTTCTTAAGGAAGCATAATATGTATATCTTAATTGCCACCAAGAATTGCGTACAGGCATATGTTTTAATCATTTGTCTGTTTAATGCTTTCCTGTGGAAGAGAATGTTTGAGAGAGGTAGACCTGCTGAATTCAGTCCACCAAAAGGGAGACACACCAAGATAAGATAATAAGAGAAGGTCACATTTGCCAAGCCCTGACTATGATTACTATTAGTACTTATTAGCTCTTACTATTAGTGGTCTCTTTGCTGTGCTTTAAATGTGTTATCTCATATGATCGCTACCACAGTTCTATAAGGTAGACACTGTTATTTGTATTTTTCTGATAAAACATCAGAACCACATGGGCTCTCTCTCTCTAAGGCCTTGCTCTTCAGGGTGGATTGTTGGCTGGAATGGGAGCCAAGTCCTCAGGAATAGATATGAAGTCCCATTGGACCCAGATCATGTGCCTGTTTAGCAGTGGTGGTTGTGTGTGAAGGTGTATCTTTCAAGTGGTCGTCTGCTGGGGCAGTGGAGCCCAGGCTGAGCACCGTCAGCCCTGGGCGATGAGTGGGCTTCAGTTTCTCTGGCTGTAAGGTTGAACTGATGCTGTTTAATTAGTGCAATTAGAAATATCCATAAGCCCATAATTAGGAAGAAATACTTGCTCTTTAAAAAATAGAGCCCATAATTAGGAAGAAATACTTGCTCTTTTTAAAAAAAATATATTTTTATTGATCTCAGAGAGGAAGAGAGGGAGAGAGAGATGGAAACATCAATGATGAGAGAGAATCATTGATCAGTTGCCTCCTGCACCCCCCATTGGGGACAGAACCCATAGTGTGGGCATGTGCCCTGACCAGGAATTGAATCGTGACCTCCTGGTTCATAGGTTGATGGTCAACCACTGAACCACACCGGCCAGGTGCATTTCTGGGTTTTTTTCCAAGAACCCTTCCTTTTCTCACTAGGTTACTTGCATCCAAAAGAGAAAGATAGACATTTCTTCTTCCACCCAAAGAAGCAAGTTACTTAGACAGGAAAGAATAACGGATATTTAATAAGGAAATACTCCTTCATGTTCCCACTTAGGGAGTCCTAAGACATGAAGAGGACCAAAATAACAATTGCAAGATAACTTCACCTTATGGGTGGCATTCAAATGGGGGTGATCAAAATAGGCTTGTTCCTTTCTCCTACTTGGATTCTGACAGATAATTTCAGGCACCTTCTTGGGAGTAGTTTAACTTCAGCAGTAAACAGGCAGTGTAGTTAGGAGCTAGGGCAGTGTGGTTCAAACTTGATCATCAGACATGCTGCAGGAGATGTAAACATCTTTGGTTTAAACTTATTCTTCAAACTATATTGTTTTCTCAATATTTCTAAAACTATTTCCAAAAATAGTGAGAAAACAACATAGTTTGAAAAATAACTTTAAGCCAAATGTGTTTAAGGTCTGAAGTTTACTGTGTATGCTAGGGCTATTATGATATTGTAGGGCCATTTTAGGGGAAAAGCAACTGGCTTCCTTAGCATGTGTAAGACATAGAATGTTTGAATGTCTTTGCCTAGACCAGTGGTCGGCAAACTGCGGCCCCTTGAGTGTGGCTCTTCCACAAAATACCACCTGCGGGCGCGCACGTACAGTGCGATTGAAACTTCGTGGCCACACTCAAGGGGCCAAAGAGCCGCATGTGGCTCGCGAGCCGTAGTTTGCCGACCACTGGCCTAGACTATTCCAGCTTGGCCCTGGGAGAGGGGACCTTATGGACCCTGGGTGCCAGCATGATGGGAAGCATATTGGCTGATCAGACATAGGAGCCACTGAGACTAGAACCTGAACGTGTTCAAACCGTGGGAAAACGGGGAGTTAGGAGCCCTCTGGTTGCCCTAGTACTGCGTTAGGAATTCTGGGTGGGTCACAGGTCTCACTCTGAAGGCCACCTGGAGAGGTGTCTGGAGGCAGGAGCAGTCCCAGAAGGAAAGCTGAGACGACAGCAGTGAAACTGAGGAAGGGGCTCTTTCTTATTCTACCCCACTTTCAGGGAGGCTGTCAGAACTTAGACTTTTGAGGGGAGATTCACCCCCCCCCCCATTCCCTGTGGCAAAAGGGAAACAGGTCCAAGGCTTTCTTTTTCTCAGTTGATTACTATGGTTTGCTTGCCTTAAACGTGTGGGATTGTTCTATATTTACAGGAGCTCTGGCCAAGGTTCACTGTCTGTGGTTTTACTTCCCGCTGGACTAGCGCATGTTGGTGCTAACCCTAAATTACCTTTCTCCCCACCCCTAAACTAAAAAAGCACATCTACCTTTTAAACAAGCCTCTGCTTTTGCAGCCGTGTTTCCCAAGCTCTGTTAGTGATTCTAAAGTTAGATGTTTGTATGTTTAATATGCTTACATTTCTTCTAACGGTGTCTTACAAAACTTGGTCCCTGAATTTGAGGTTCCTGGCTTCAGCACACGAAGTTGACTTGACAAGGATGTTTTATGGGGCTTTGGGTTGCGTGTGAGATGGGCTTTAGAGCTGATTGAAGTAGATGTAAGGCTTTAAAATATCTATTATTGACACCTGCCAAGGTTCCTCAAATCATCACTGTTACGTGTCCCTCAAGCCCCTATTAATAGCACCTGATACCCGGGTGGGGCAATAATACATTAATAATGTATATTAATAATGCACATTGTTGTCATTTCATTAGACTAAGTGGCCATTATTTTGCAAGGAGTAGAGTCCCAGGGGAATGACAAGAACAGGAAGCCAGGCTTTGCTTACCTTTTAATTTACCACAACGCTTAGCATGAGATGTTGTTCATTGCAGGTGCTTAATAAAAGTCTATAATATGAAATTTTATTGGACAAAGGGTACAGAGAGGTCAAGCGTTTGAGGTTCTTTTGTGTTGGTGGTTTGGTCTTGGGAGGTTTGTCCTAGGGCACCTCTAAAGAGAAACTTCTCCTAAGGACTTTGCTACTATCTGAAGAAGAGGAGCAAGCCTGGGCCCCAAATCTTGATTCTTACTATTCTCTGTGGTGACCTTTCCTGTCCTGGGTGTTCCATCCTCCATTTTGCCAGGAACTTGAGAATAAATCATGAAAACCATGGGTATCATACATGGAGCACCTCAGTTATTCCCCTTTTGCAAAAGAAACTAAGGCTCAGAGGTGAAGTGACCTGCACAGGCCACACAGCCTTCACGGCCTCTCTCCCACACATCTCCAAGGCGGCAGCTTCTGCTGGGCCCACCGTATCTTTGGGGCTCCTGAGGTTGTCCTTTGCATCTTTTTCATGAATAACATTTGTAGAATAATCCCACAGGGTGGGACTGAACTGTGGGAAGTTTTGGCTAAAGGATGCTGGGTTTCATTTCCTTTTGCTAGGTGAACATTTTGGAGTCTGGAGTCAAGTTTGGCGCAGATTGTGCATAGGACTTACAGAAAGAGAGAAGGCATCAAGGTGTATCAATGAGCCAGAATATGAGCTAATGTGTGTGTGTGTGTTTTCCTCCCAAAGGATGGGTATATGGTGATGTAAAATAGCTGGAGAATTGGAGCAGAATAGAGATGAAGTCTAAGGTCCTGGCAAGGGCCTATGGTTCAGGGTGGGGTGGAGTAAGGTGTGGTGGAGAAACTGGCTCTCCACGGCCAACTGTCTGTGGGAGATAGAGAGCAGAGGTGTGGCCACTGAGATCCGGGCCAGCGAGTCTCTGGGCTTGGCACTCTGGACCAGGGATGGGGGTGAGATAATGCGCCAAAGGCCTAGTGTTCCTTCTGGCTCCGGAGTCTGGGCGCGAGGCCTCCTCCCCAGGGCCCTCTGTGGTTTTCCTGCCGCTATGACTTGCCTCATCTTTCTCCCATAACTTTGTGGGCTTCTCCTGACTATGGCCTGGTGACAAATAGTAACACTCTGCTGTAGGTCTGCAGTGGACACAGCCACTTTGCTGTATGCTGGGAAAAGGCTTTCCCTTGAGGAAACCCAGGCTGCTCTAGAGATGGGCTTAGCTGACAAGGCAAACAGAAGGCACTTGCCAAGTTGAGTCCCACTGAGTCCAAGGGTCCTAAGAAGTGTTAACAGGGGTGCCCCAGAAAAGTGTCCCGTGATCAAGTGAACTTGGGAAACAGGACTTTCTTTATCACAAGACTTCTCAGGGATGTTCAAGTGGAAATGCACAATGGGAATCTCCAAGGATGCTCAGTGCGCCCCAAACTTAGTTGATTACACAGTTCTCTCTCTCTCTCTTTTTTTTTAAAGGACCAGTATTCTGAGGAATATGTTTTTGGGGAAATGTGAGAGGTTCACCATTTGGATCTCAGTAGGTGTTCATCATCAAAACCCTGAAAAATGATGTGGTCCTTTCAGGTGATGTGAGCTGAACCTTTGAAGGTTGAAAACTTTGAGGGTTGGGCGTGTTTGAAAAAGTGGACAAGATGGGTGTGTGGGCCAGGAAGACAAGATGGTGCCCCCCCCCAAGCCCCCACAACCCCCTGCAGAATAGCAGGGGAGGCAAGGGAGCCAGGTGAGGTGTCTGAGAGCTTGTAGCAGCCTTTAGGATGCTGGGTTTCATTTCCTTTTGCTAGGTGAACATTTTGGAGTCTGGAGTCAAGTTTGGCGCAGATTGTGCATAGGACTTACAGAAAGAGAGAAGGCATCAAGGTGTATCAATGAGCCAGAATATGAGCTAATGTGTGTGTGTGTGTTTTCCTCCCAAAGGATGGGTATATGGTGATGTAAAATAGCTGGAGAATTGGAGCAGAATAGAGATGAAGTCTAAGGTCCTGGCAAGGGCCTATGGTTCAGGGTGGGGTGGAGTAAGGTGTGGTGGAGAAACTGGCTCTCCACGGCCAACTGTCTGTGGGAGATAGAGAGCAGAGGTGTGGCCACTGAGATCCGGGCCAACGAGTCTCTGGGCTTGGGACTCTGGACCAGGCAGGGATGGGGGTGAGATAATGCGCCAAAGGCCTAGTGGCGAGTCTCTGGGCTTGGCACTCTGGACCAGGGATGGGGGTGAGATAATGCGCCAAAGGCCTAGTGTTCCTTCTGGCTCCGGAGTCTGGGCGCGAGGCCTCCTCCCCAGGGCCCTCTGTGGTTTTCCTGCCGCTATGACTTGCCTCATCTTTCTCCCATAACTTTGTGGGCTTCTCCTGACTATGGCCTGGTGACAAATAGTAACACTCTGCTGTAGGTCTGCAGTGGACACAGCCACTTTGCTGTATGCTGGGAAAAGGCTTTCCCTTGAGGAAACCCAGGCTGCTCTAGAGATGGGCTTAGCTGACAAGGCAAACAGAAGGCACTTGCCAAGTTGAGTCCCACTGAGTCCAAGGGTCCTAAGAAGTGTTAACAGGGGTGCCCCAGAAAAGTGTCCCGTGATCAAGTGAACTTGGGAAACAGGACTTTCTTTATCACAAGACTTCTCAGGGATGTTCAAGTGGAAATGCACAATGGGAATCTCCAAGGATGCTCAGTGCGCTCCAAACTTAGTTGATTACACAGTTCTCTCTCTCTCGCTCTCTTTTTTTAAAGGACCAGTATTCTGAGGAATATGTTTTTGGGGAAATGTGAGAGGTTCACCATTTGGATCTCAGTAGGTGTTCATCATCAAAACCCTGAAAAATGATGTGGTCCTTTCAGGTGATGTGAGCTGGACCTTTGAAGGTCAAAAACTTTGAGGGTTGGGGGTGTTTGAAAAAGTGGACAAGATGGGTGTGTGGGCCAGGAAGACAAGATGGTGCCCCCCCCCAGCCCCCACAACCCCCTGCAGAATAGCAGGGGAGGCAAGGGAGCCAGGTGAGGTGTCTGAGAGCTTGTAGCAGCCTTTAGGGGTGAAGATAAATTCTCTTGGGACCAGAAACCTTTGCTTCTGAAAACCCTTTTTATTCTGGGCACATCTTTTGTAACTTAGTCGTGTTCATTTTGTGTTAAGGGGACCGAAGAAGGATGTGTTTGCCTCCTCCTGACCTGGAGGTAATTGGAGAATTCTTATGGAGGAGTGGGGGCTGGCCAGGCCCTCATGATTCGGCTTCCCTCTCTCACCTGAAGAGTATTTCCAGATCATCTCCGCTATAGTCGTGGCTGGCTTTGTGTTTTGTTTTAACCAGGAAGACTGTTCCTTTGTGACCTCATTGGCCACATCCTGCTTCCGCTGTCTGCTCTGCCTTTGAGCCCTTTGAGTTGGTGCAGCTCAGCCAGCAGCTCCTCTCTGTCACGGCCCCATGGCTGGGCTGGCTGTGAGTTGGTTTCCTCTCCCTTGGCAGGATTTAGAGAAATAGAATCTCAGAACTTGAGAGTGGGAAAGGACTTTAAGGATTATTTAGTCCATTTTCCCATTTTATTGATGGGTAAGCTGAGGCCCAGAGATACTGTCTTGCTCAAGGGCACCCAAGTAGCTGAACAGTTTCCTTGACTCCCAGTGCAGCCCTGCTTCTGTGACTTTGCCTTGCTGTCGCTCTGGTCTTTGGGGGTATGACAATAGAGGGAACCATGAAATCACTCAAAGTGTCTGTAACAGACAAGCTACCGGAGGAGAAATCTTTATCGTTGACCCTCTAGCTTAACTCCAGAGTGTAAGCTCTCAGGAAAATCATGACAAAGATTCTCTCTTGAACAGGCAGGGAAAATTATTAAGTCATGGGATCCAACCTTGTGTTTATATTTTAGAGGGCTCAGAGGGCAGAAAATAAATTTTTTAGAAAAGATGATTCCTTATGTCTAAGATCCCAAATCATCCTGGTGTTGGTCAGGCACCTGGGCAGTGGGCTCCTCTGTGTTGCAAGGAGGCCAGTGTGGTTATGGTGACTCCATCACACCTGACCTTTTTCAGGGCAGCAAGGGCTTTTGGTGCGTGTGACTAGACACACACACACACACACACACACACACACATGTGTAAATTTTCTCTCCTATTTCAAATCATTTTGGGGGCATACATATAATATCTGGAAGTCATCCCGTTTTGTTTACTAGAAATTTGTATCTTTTGCTCCTTTTGGTGATAAACTGTTGATTATAGACTGAAGACCATTCCTAATGAGTTATGTTTTCTTTCCTAAAAGGTGCAGATTCATTTTACAGAAACAGCTTCAGCTTCAGTGATGAAAAACTGAATTCTCCAACAGACTCCACCCCAGCTCTGCTCTCTCCCGCCGTCACTCCTCGGAAAGGTGAGTTCATTAGTTGGAGCCGGTTTTTTTGCTTCCTTATTCCCTTCCTCTTCTCAGTCTCTTCTCTCTTCCCCCTGATCCTTAACCAATCTTTCCCAAAGGCAAAACAAACAGATGACTAATCTCTTAGTATAGTATAGTGTAAAGTGGAATTTATTATTTTTCAGGATTTTGATCAGTGTGGAAGTGAAATCAGATAACACGGTGGGGGTGGCATGGGGTCACAAAAAAACCCCCCAAATTCACAGGGAGAAAGAAAGCTAGTAGATGCCACACAGTGCTCTGCTCTCTCTCAGGAGGTGTCCTTGAGACTGTGCGAGGACAGTGCTCTCCCTGACTGGTGGGTTCCAGAGTTTAAAACTCAGCGGTTAGACTTTGCAGAAAGTAGGAGTCTTTTTATTGCATTAACTATTTAACCAATGATTTCAGATGACCAATTTAGCAATTAAATGGGGTCATCATTATGAGACAAGAGATGATCTAACACGATTCTAAATAGCAGCTCCAGCCCGTCTCTGCTGTGGTATGAGTAGCCCTGGAAGCTTTAAAGATGCGCGAGCGGCTTCTTATTTTTTGGAGCTAGTAAGTGTCTCCAGCTAGAGAGCCAAATGTTCTGTTACAGTGAACAAGGGCCCTTTTGAAAACAAAAGGAGTTTTTTACTCCCTTAAGAAACATTATACTTGCTGAAAATAGTTGCAGAATGCAATAAAAATAGAACGTGGTTGAAGAGAAATATGAAGATCCCATCACTTTTCTCACTCTGGCATTAAGGCGGAATTCTCTCTTTCAAAGGAGCCGTTTTAAAACTCTCTCAGGATAGCAATATTAGCAGCCTCCAGGGACTCCGCCATTGTCCTGCCCTCCGTCTGTAACAGGTCTGTTGAATTCAGACAGACAGAGCAGTCTAGAAAGTGGCTTAAAACATGTCCAGATCTGCTACCTGATCCTCAAGAGGTAGGAATTAGAGGGGAACAGAGCCCTACTGGCAAATTGACTATATAAACTAAAAACAAAGAGCCATTTGTAGCCAGCAGGGGTTAATTAATACATATATCCAGTAATGCATTTCAGAGAAGGCATGAATGATGAATTCTACACAAAAAAGTAAGATATACAGAAAAAGTATGTATCAGGATACAGAGGAAACAAGATCAAGAGAAGGACTCGTTACCTCTTCCTGGCACCTGGATGGGATAAGAGAAGCCTCATGTCCCCTTCCCTGTACCACTTTGACAAGGACCAGTGGCTCCTCATTCATTTCATACTGGAGGGACTCTGAGGGCCCAAGGTGACAGTACAAGCAAGAAAGTGTCAGAGAGAGAAAGTGCAGCAGGAATTAGGGGATCTGGGTGTCCATTCTGCACAGGGCCATGCTTACTGAATTTTTTTTTTTTCTTACTGAATATTTTTGACTGGTAACTCAAATGCTACACAATTAAAAAAGGAAAACCTTTTATCTTTCTTCCTTGCTCCTTACACCCCCCTTCCTTATTACCCCCTAAGCTTTTAAGGCCTCGAAGGGAGGTGGTTCTTCCAGGTTGTTGGGGTCCGGGTAGGGGAGGGGGATAAAAGAAACATTTAGGCTACTCTTCAGAATGCGGTTCTGAGTTGACTGTAAGTAAACTCTGGAGCAGACACTGGGGTTGGTACAGGACACTCTTCACTAACATCTCTGAAGATAGATGCAAAACAGGGTCAAATAATAGTAGAAAAGGTGGGAGTCATCAGCTGTCTCTGATATGGGGAAACTGAACTCCAACTATTGTTTTTCAGCCAAACTAGGAGACACGAAAGAGCTAGAAGACTTTATTGCTGATCTTGACAGAACATTAGCAAGTGAGTACATGCCTGGTATTAAAAAATCAAACGGAAAACTAACCGACACCTCTGATAAAGTGCTGTAAAGTTTACCAACTTGCCTGGGGCAGGAAGTTACACCATAAGGCTTCTTTAGGTTCCAATACAGGACCCATGTGGCTCAGAAAGAAATTAGGAGGATCAGCTTGCCTTAAAGTAGACCGAGCAACTTTTCAAACAGCGAGACTAGGCCACCAGCAAACAATGGTATTTTGTTTGAGAAATGGAGAGTAAAAGTAGTATAGTCATTAGAGCAAGATTGGAGCTTTACCATCATCATGGTCTGCCAGGCTTTTCAGAGAAGAAATGAGCTGATTGGCTATGCAGGCATTATGCTGACAAGCCAGAGGGTTCCATCCCATAGCCAGGGAAATTCCCAGGTTTGATCCAGGGGCTTGGTGAGGTCTGACTTCCAAAGGGTTGGGTCCTGAGAGAGAATTAGCTGGGGAGACCCTGTAACCAAAGATCCATGCTAGTTACAAAAAGACCTACATTAAGTAGGCGATACCTTATTTCCCATTTGGCCATTACACAATGATACCCCATTTAGTGCAACCAAAAATGTTGAAAAATGGAGATATCTGATCATAATTGCACACTCTGTTTCAAAAGGACAGGATTTCAGGAGCCAGAGGACAGCTAGAGCTTCTGAGATCAACATTTCAGTAGCTCTGTTCTTTGGGGGCCTTGTTCAGTCACAGAACAAGCATGGAGAATTGTGTCCTAGCCCCTTACTTTTTCAATGAAAGAATTGATTTTCCATAAAAAAAAATATTTATGCTGTGCTCTGCTAAATAGCTGGGCAAAATCTGAAAAATTGGATCCAAAGCTGGTTATTTAAAAATAACTCTGTTCTTCACACTATTTCAGACAGGCTTAAATATTAGGTGGAGGGTCCTGTGTGTTCTCTACCTGCAGAGTTATTGCCCATTTTCTTACACACTGTACCATCCTACATCAGAAGACCAAAGCTTGTTTTGACAGGGATTTTTTGTAATTACAGCTCAGTTGCATTAGACCCATGTAACAAGCCTGTCTACTTCATGGAAATTGCAGCGGGCTGACCAGTCATACCAGTTAATCAGACATACATTATGTGGGAAGCCTGCCATTAAGTTTGTTGCTTTGATGCATGTCCGAGATGGTGGTTAAGCATAGGAACTGTACACTTTTGTGAATGGATAACCTTATCTATCCTATTTACAGGTATGTGAGAAAAGAAGTTCTGGGTCCTTTCATCATAAGGGAAAAGCTTCAGAAAGCTCCGAGGACCTGGTAAAATCAGCTACAGAATTTGCTGCCAGAAGGAATAGAGATGAGCACACGCCTACCACCAGGCCATTCCCAGCTGGTCCTAAAACTAGCCTTTGGGCTCATCCTTGAGCAATTTCGACAGTGAAACTGACTTTGTTTACCTGCTTGCAGCATATTAGAGCAGACCACTCATGCTAATATTGTATTTCTCTTAAAAGATGGCTTTCATGTAATTTAAAGTGCTTTTATGAAAATATTTGTAATTAATTATATATAGTTGGAAACAGTGATATGCTTTCCTCAGTATAATATATTTTTGTATGCAAATAAAATTTGAACTGGAATCTGTATTTTGCAAGCTTTTTTCTCCCTCTCCCCCCCTTATTTCTTTCAATATATTACCATTCAAATAAAGTGGGAATGACATGCCTCTTGACTTCTAACAAGGATCTTGGATGCTGCCAATTGTACTAGACCAGTGGTCGGCAAACCACGGCTCGCGAGCCACATGCGGCTCTTTGGCCCCTTGAGTGTGGCTCTTCCACAAAATACCACGTGTGGGCACGCTCGTACAGTGCGATTGAAACTTCGTGGCCCATGCGCAGAAGTCGGTTTTCGGCCTGGGCGAGTCTATTTTGAAGAAGTGGCATTAGAAGAAGTGGGGGTATGTTCGCTGAGGTCGACCCCTCAGATTGAGGACATTTTTAGCAAAGGCCAGCTTAGGAGTACCCTAATTAAGTTAATAACAATGTACCTACCTATGTAGTTTAAGTTTAAAAAATTTGGCTCTCAAAAGAAATTTCAATCGTTGTACTGTTGATATTTGGCTCTGTTGACTAATGAGTTTGCCGACCACTGTACTAGACAATAGGATGGTAAACTTAAAATGTTACTTTGTTTTTTAATCCTCACCTGAGGATATTTTTTCCATTGATTTTTAGAGAGAGTGGAAGAGAGAGGGAAAGACAGAGAGAATATTGATGTGAGAGCAACACATCGATTGGTTGCCTCCTGCTGGGCCAGGGAGGAGCCTGCAGCTGAGGTACATGCCCTTGACTGGAATCAAACCCAGGACCCTTCAGTCTGCAGTCCCAACGCTCTATCCACTGAGCCAAACCAGCTACGACTTAAAATGCTACTTTGAAACTCATTTCTGAATTCTAGAGGAAAATGTATGATTAATGGGAAATTTTAATTTGAGAATTGTGGCTTTGATGGAAGTTGAGTTTCTCTTCTATCTCTGTTCTCCTATCTTCATATCTTAGCATCTTTTTTAGGTATCATGGGCTCTCTCCTTCGGTTTAAGGGAAATAGCAGTTTCACTCACAATCCAGGACTTAAATATGAGGGAAACTTGGGGCAGCCAGAAGACTTGATGGTGCTCTTACCAATCTCTGTGCTAAGGAAGATTTGATGTACTGATCTCGATGCCCATGTTCAGCTGGCTTTGGTGGAGCCAGAGGGTCCAGATACAAGGTCTTCCACCAGGTGGGCTTTGCATGTAGAAGCCAATGCTCACCTCCCCTCCCACCTGCCTTTTTTGGAGGCTGGGAGAGGTGTAAAAACAGGAAAGTTCATAATTTTCTTATTATGATTTTCTATTTAAAAACCTCTAAAATGGCCCTAGCTGGTTTGGCTCAGTGGATAGAGCATTGGTCTGTGAACTGAAGGGTTTGATTCTGGTCAAGGGCACATGCCCGGGTGGCAGGCTCGATCCCTGGTGAGGGGCGTGCAGGAGGCAGCTGATCAATGATTCTCTCTCATCTTTGATATCTCTCCTCTCCTCTCCTCTCCTCTCCTCTTCTCTTCTCTTCCTTAATCTCTCTCTCTCTCTCTCTCTCCTGTACTCTCTGAAATCAATAATCAAAATCTCTGAAATCAACCCTGGTATACTTGTTTTTAGTTCTATTAGTTATTTTATGGATTTACATAAAAATATCATTTACAAATAGAAATAGTTTTACTTCTTACTTTCCAATCTGAATGCCTTTTTAATTCTTTCTGTTGCCTCATTGCCCTAGCTAGAACATCCAGTACAATGTTGAAAACAAGTGGTGAGAGGGCATACCCTCATCTTGTTGCTGATCTTAGAGGGAAGCTTTTATCTTTTATCTTTAAGTATGATGTTTGCTGTGGGCATATTTTCTTTTTCAATCAAATGAGCTCTTGACTTGTTTTCTAAACACAACTTTTCCATGACCTGGAACTGTTTCTTGCTCATGCTTGGGAGCCTTTATCTTCTTTGGATAAATCTTTTTTTCTTTTTTTTTAAATCAGGACACCAGTGTCTGGTGTCAGTATAACTGACAGTATAATTTTTATAACCTCTTCTGGGATTGAGGCTCTATCTTTATGGTCTCCTGGAGCATGGACTCCCATAGTTAGAAGTGCAGGGTATGTGGCCTATTGTGGGAATAAGGCCAGTGGTTTGAGGAAAAGAAGTGGATTCTTTTAGAGAAGTGTTGTGGGGAGAGTAGTTTATGTACTATAAACTTCTCTTGGGTGAATAACTGGGGACAAGCACAGCTTCTGGGCTGAGTTACAGCTTGGGTTCTGAGAATGTTGAAAAAAGTGTTTTAAATGTTTTACAAGATGTATTTCAAGTAGCACCTTTCTAAACTGTTTTGAGAAATAGGTATTAAGGTCATATATACTTGAAAAGTGCTGCATGGTATGTACCCCATTTAGAGATTTATTCACATTAGTGCATAAATACTTAGGGTCAGTTTAAGTTTGTGAATCAGAGAACCAAAAATAGAGTGTCTTGAACAAAATGGAAGATTTTTTCCCCCTCACTAACAGCCCAGAGGTGAGCAGTACTGGGTCCAAAGTGGCTGCTCCTGCCCTTGTCATCACATGTACATTCCAGCCATTAGAAAGGAGAAAAGGTGAGTAAACACAGGCTTATTTCTTTCAATGACATGACTAGAAGGAACACAATCACTTGTGCTCATCTTCCCATGTTTAGATCTTTGTCCGGTGGTCATTCCTAGCTGCAAGGGATGCTGTGAAAAATGTCTCTAGCTGGGCAGATAGCTATGTGCTCAGCTAACATTTGAGAGTGCAATTATTAAAGAAAGACAAAGAGAATGGGTATTGGAGGACAACTAGTCACCTCTGCCACTGAACCCTGCGGTGTTCCTCCTCCTCCAGACCTGAGAGCCAGCAGCATGCCCTTGCAAACTGCTTGATTGTTACCTGGAGTGTGTTAGTGAATGAGCTTTTCTGGAACAGAACAAGACCAGACATTGAACATGCAGAGCTGTTCGGATGCGAATAGTAGGATTTTGAGTTTGGAAATTTTCTGTTTTAACTTCTGGGAGGAATAGCTAAATCAATACAAAACAAAATGTTTGACACACACCCAAAGTAAGAGGATCCCGTGCCAGCCCACATGTTTACACACCAGCCAGCCCCTGGGATGGGACAGAGGGACCAATGCATGCCTCTTCTTGGGGGCATTGTGACAGAGAGGGCTACATTGCACATCTGTCCAGGTGTGAGAAGGCCGTCCCAGGGGAGGGGCAGTTGGAAGTGGTGTATAGCTTACTGGCAATCTGGGTGGGGAACTTGAGGAATTAGACTGGAAAAGGGGGGAGAAAGTAAAGTATGGGCTTTCAAACTAGACCAGTTCTGCCACTCTACCTGGGTGCTACCTCGAGTTCACCCTCCTCACAGAGGCTCTGTTTCCTCATTTGTAAAATGGAGATGTGAGTCCTTGTCTCCCAGGGTCACTGTGAAGATCAAATATAGAAAACCTGGTGTCTACAACTCCTCATCCTCCTTTTCGTATTAAAAGGACACTGGGCTCCTCTACCCAAGGCACAACCAAGCTTCACCTATAGTGGTCTCAGAGGCAGTTCCAACCCCATTGTTCCTCCTCCGATAAAAGAGCCAGAAGCTGCTGTCTGATGGGACTAGAGGGAGCAAGGCAGGGGGAGAACATAGGACACAGAACCCAGAGATGGGCTTCAAGGCCCGCCCTGCCATTGACCGATCCGGGTCCTCTCTTGGCCTCAGCTTCCTCCAGGTTAAGCACAGGACGGGGACTCAGTGTCTCGATGACTCACTGTTGGGTTTCTTTAGCCCCTCCAGTTTGGTGGCTCTGGCTCTTACCTCAGACCTTTGCTCTTTTCTGAAAAGCCGATGAGATCTTTTTCTTGGTTTCTCAGACTGTGTTTCTTCCACATCCTTCTCCAAAATGTTTTCCTGTGCTAATTTATTTGGCTAAGAAGGTTTGTGGTGAGAGATACCAAACAGGAAATGGTTGTCATAGCTGCTGTCTGCACTTTTGTTTTTTTAAGGCTTTCTCCGGCATAGCTTACCTTCTCTGCGTCCCTTGGTATTGATTTAAGTGCAGGAGTAAGTGGAAGGGGAAAGGGAAAGGGAAACCCATTTTTAGAAGGGAACATTTTCCTTCAAGTTCAGAGTTTACTGAAGGTTATGATCATACACAATAGCAGTGTTAGGTGGGCCTTTATACTAACAGGGCCTTTGCACAAGCAGGTCCCTCTGCCTGGAATGCCTACTCTTCCCTGTTTTTTTCTAGTTAATTTCCTCTTCTTTAGGATTAAGCATCACTTCTTCAGAAAGGCTTCTTGGTCGCCCAGTCCAGGTTGTTTCCTTGGAGCTATTCTTGTAGAACACTCCTTAAGTACACTAATCTTGGTTTGCAATGACATGTTTGTTAGTGTGTTTTTTTGGGGTTCATTTTTCCCCACCCTCCTACAAGTGAACCATAGCTCCACACAGGCAGGAACCAGCTGGTTTGGCTTGCCACAGTATCCCCAGTGCCTGGCATGACCCCTGGCACACAATAAGGACTCAGTCCATACTTGTTGAATGAAATAAGTGAAATTTCTCACCTCTTCTTCAGCCCAGGCAGACTGGGCATGACACGAGACTGTGGGTTGCTCTTTTGCCCCGTCTTCTCACCAGGCCACCCTTCTCTTGCAGGTCCTTTCTGCTCTCCTTGCAGGTCCTTTCTGTCCCCACTGGCACTGGGGACCCATAGCAGTTTCTTCCCCAGCTATTTATTTTTTCAGAGGAGGAGAGACTTCTGAAGACCGAGAGATCTTTGAGGATAAACAGAATGAATGCATCTTTGGTGGTGGAACTTCAGGCAGAGTGAAGTAGGGAAAGAGAGAACTTCCTATCACTCCAGGGAGACACAGGATGCCAGGCTGACCCTGATCATGGCACACATTTATGCCTTTTCTTAGAACTCAAGGATTCCAAAATCAGCAAACCCCTCTGAGCCTCAATGGGAGAAGAACTGTTCGCACACCATGTGTATGGGGATGTGTGCGTGCACGCGAGCGTGTGTACGTCTGTGTGCATGTGTATGC